TTTCAAACATTTCTAGTCAGATTGTAAGCTTCCAGAAGATAAAAATAATATTTTATGCCTCCCACACTACTTAGCATGGTGCCTAGTACATGGTTGTTACTGCTTATTCATTATCACCATATTTCAGATATTTTAGTTAAGAGTAAAGCTAGAATTTGGAACAATTCTTTTTTTCTGCCCAAGCCAAAATATGGATAATATTTTGATGAGTCAGGTTTTCTTTTTTGAGAGCCTAGTAATTCTCAAATTAGAATTCATCCAGGTACAACCAGAAACAATTGTGTGAACATAATAACTGGAAATTTCTCCTACAAAAAAAAATTAGAACTGGTGACAAAAATATTAATTTTCCAAGAAATTGCTGTCATTTTTAAGATAGTTATTTAAATCTTTTGATCTCCTAATTATAATAGACGGCTTCTTACTCAAAATAATTGGGATTAATAATTGGTCTGTTCATTAATAAAGTTGCTTAAAGCATAATGGCATTAAAGAGTTATATAGATACTGTAATTGCAACTCACAAATAATCATTTGCCAGTGTTTGAAAAATAAGCCTTCCTCTTTGACTATGGGCTTGATATTTAGGGTGTATTGTTCTTTTCCTAACATAAATCACCAAAATGCATTATCTACTTCACTGTATCCAGAAGAAACATTGTGTTCACAAAGTTGGTCCTTTAAATAAGAGTAATTACAGATATTTCTGAAGTAATCTTAATGTAGAACCTTTGTGGATATATTTATTGACTCCCTGTACTTAAAGATTCTTCACTTTCCCCCTAAGTCAACATCTTATTTTAATGTCTTAGAGTATATCCAAAGGATTCCAGTTGATTTTCATAAAAATAAACATACCTGTTTACAGTCATATAAATTACACAATTTGATAATGGTTGACATAACTTAAGGATAAATACAACTGGTTCATAGCAAATAGCATCTAAACTGGATGGAGTGGAAATGCTTGAGGTGTACTAGTGGGTAGTAGCCAGTGTTCATGATCGGCATGACTGGAGCACCTCTTAATATGCTTTACACAGAGAGTAGAATCTACCTGGTTCATCTGGTGACATTGTTGAGGAGAAAGTAATTAAGAGATCACTATGCCCTTATTTGGTATTAATAGTATCTTTTTTACATCATTCACTGAAAAACGGAGGATAAGCATTTTATTCATGATTAAATTTACCCTCTGTGTTAACTGAAGGACAATGTGGTTAAAGATACACGGGGGAAGTAGTAAATAAGAACTGGTGGTAAAAATAATTCTCTTTGCTGATTATATTGCATTAATTCAAAGAGAGCTAACCAAGAGCCATATATAGAAGAAAAGCAGCACAATATATGTGGTCTATTTCAGGTAGACATATTTGTTTCATTTCAGGACTTACAGTGATTTTTATAAAGAATTCATATGAGTAAAATCATTGAAATGATGAGGAAAAGGGGGAATAAAAATGTACTTATTTTGCTTTATGGAGATTGCTTTCATGTACTCTCATAATGTTATCAGGTTCTGAGGTCTCTTTCCAAAGGCAGTTTTCTAAGTTCTTCTTCTCTTGAGGAAAGAATTGGACAAAAGAGTGCAAAAGGTAGGGAGGTTTTACATTTACTAAAGGTATGAAAGAAACATGCCATGACCTGCACAGCATAGGGTCGCAAGCCAGGGAGAGCAGTGAGAGATGAAGAAAAACAAAGAAACTAAGACTATTCTTGAAAGTTGGGACCAGGTGGAACCATAGCCTGTCGACAGTTAATGGCCGCTTGGCGTCCCACACCTCTTTATTTATAGTGAAAGGCAAACAGGGAGAGAGGGCGGAGCAAATAGTCCCACGTGGCCTATGTGGACTAGGCAGACTGCAGCGTGATTGTTTCATGATTGGTGTATGCGCAGGAAGGGAACAGGGAAGGATACATAGTGTATCTGTCTCCCGGAGCTGTGCCATCAGGGTCTACATTATTAGTGTCTGTTTGATTATCTAATCTATAGAGGATAAAGGGAGTAGGGTGGAGGCAAAGAGCCATCTTCAGGCTCAGCCCGCAGCAGAAACACGCTCTGCAGAGTGACTCTGGGCCAAGTAAAATTAGGAAAAAAGAGTACACTCTACAGCATGAAACCAGACTACTGTGAAGGAGAGAACAGAAAAGTCCTGAGCTCAATGGTAACTGTCTTTTTTATCTCCCACTTCTTAGGCTGACAGGTCTAGGCCGTCCTATCAACAACTTGCTCAAGGTCTGGGGAGGATTGGAGATAGCACTCTGATTGGTTCCATGTGCAGGGCTTTAGGAACTGTTTTACACATGTGTCCTAGAACTTTGTGATTAACAGATCACACCGATTTCCTCAGCCTGTTTGCCAAGTCGTAATCTCCTGTCTCATTAGAACTTGGCATGATGGTGCATGCCTATAATCCCAGCATTCAGGAGGCTGAGGCAGGAGACTGCCATGAGTTCAAGGCCAGTCTAGGCTACAGTGAGTTCAAGGCCAGCCTAAACTACATACCAAGACCCTGTCTCAAAAAACAATAGATATAAATGCATACATACATATATACATACCATGGTTTGCAATCAGTAGAATGGAAGCAGGTCTATAGCATTAGGAGACAATGATAGTTACTTTATTTCACCCAGAAGCATAGCCTGGATTTCATCTTGTTTTGAAACATATTTTAGAGGTCAAAACAAAAATTAGTACATCTTGAAATTTGTACTGCTATATTCATAGTTTACCATAATCAATTGATGCTCATGTCATAATCTGAAAAAAAAGAGAGCTTCCTGACTAATAAGCAATTATCTATAATAAAACTCAATTAAGACGTTCTACATATCTTGGGGGTAGTCTATCTTCCCAAGCAGGCCACTGTCATTCGTTGCAAGGGATCACAAGGAGACAGGTCTAAAGTCTCCTTGGGAAATAAAAAGCCTGAGAAAGAAGCATGAAGGGCAGCCCTACAGCCCCTCAAACCTCTAGCCTTATTTCCAAACCCAGAGGAATCACTCTGGTCCTTCCTCAAAGGATACAGTGGAGAGCTATAAAAACTTTACATGGGAAATGGTCACTAGAATTTTCAAGGGACTGGGAAGAAAGCTATTCTTGTGAACCTCTGGAAGGCCTGAGGCTCCTCTTCAAAAGGAAAGGATCCAATACTGCTCTGGGGACAGGTAGGTAGAGTCAGTCCTATTGACCACAGTTTAAAGGGCATCTGTATTCAGACTTCTGTGTTTAATTAGATCCATAATGTGGGCAATGTTCCTAACGCTGTGGTTCTCAGGCCCTCGATAATCCATATAACAGCCCTCTTTGCTATCTCCCCTCCACAGGAAGCAGGAAAATCTGACCTGCTCCTTCTCATGTTTGGGCTCTACATCCCCAACCTAGCAGTAGAGTTACTCTCTGGACAGATCCACCAAGCTTTCTCCTGTAGAACAGGCAACTCAGCAGTCACTACTTCTTTACTCATTGTCTCCTGACAGTTTTTTTCTTCAACTCAGGCAGTGAACTACAGCACCCTAAGGTAGCTGAAGAGCACATAATCACCAGTAGGTAGGGTCTACAGCCCCTTTTGTCAGGAAGTGCAGAAGCTACATGAAGACAGAGACTTCTACTCCCTCAAAACACCATAAAGAATTATGGAATATGTGTCTCTCAGGGGGAAATGAGGCAGGAGATTAGGGTGTGGAAAACTGGCTGGGAAAGTGGGGGTGATCTGTTAATTACAAAGTTCCAGGACAGATGCACAGAATAGTTCCCAAAGCCATGGACATGGAGCCAATCAGAGTGCTATCTCCAATTCTTTTCCCCAGAACTCCAGCAAGTTGACAATAGGATGACCTAGACCTCTCAGCCTGAGCAGTCAGAGGTACAAAAGACAGTTGCCACTGAGCTTGGGGCTACTGTGTTTTCTCTTTCACAGCAGTTTGCTCTGTGCTATAGTTTGTACTTCTTTCCCAACCTTCACGTGGCCCAAACTCCTGTGTGGGACATGTTTCTTTTCTTATTTTTAGTAAATGTAAAACCTTGCTACCTTTTGCACTTGTTTTGCCCAATTCTTTGTTCAAGATGAGAAGAACATAGAAAACCACTTCTGGAAGGGAGACCCCAAGAACCCCAGAACCTGGTAACAATAGTATCATAAAACACTCATGATGGTTTATGTGAAATCAGTTTTGTGACAAAATGTCAGAGTAGGGGTGGAGGATTAAAATCAGCTGAGAATTTTGTAGAGGTGAAATTGAAGAACGGGCAGTTGGAGCATCCCCGTAGTAAGGGTTGGATTTTATCATACCATAGTGTTCAGAGATATAATAATTCATAGATATTATTTAATCTAGTAGTTCCTAACCTGGCTAATTGAATCATATATACTAATTAAAATTCCAAATTTTAAAAAATTACATTTCTTTTAAGTTATCCCAAATCTTTTTCCTTAATGTAATGACCTTATTCAGTTGATCTAGTATTTAAATATCTTTCTTGTTTTTATATTTAGTATTGTTTTTGATAAAGGGATAAGATGACAATGAAGGGACATCACATGAAATGATGTCCAGGAAATACATTCAAAAACATTCTATAAAAGCAACTAGTTCAAGGATGATTTTGACCTCATATAGAATTATGAACCCAGCTACTTACTTTCAGAATGATTTTTAATCCCCTTGACCCTGTTCATTTGAGCAATGTTTGCCTTCAGATCTTTCTAAAGTCCTGAGAATTTTTCTTTCAATATTAAGACATGCTTCATAGAATTCTATTACATATGAATCTCTTCACCCAATGGGCTATTGTGCAGGATATTTATTTTGCTGCTGGAAGATAACTAAAATGAAATTAAATAAATGCACAAAAATAATGTTTCAGGTTGTTCTGTAAAACGCTGAGTAAGTGAGTTCTGGTTGGTTTAAATTTCACCTAGAAAAATAAGATACTTTCAAGTTTTGCCTTCTGAGTGTTAGATTTGCCTTTACATTTTGATCTTCTCTGTTTCCAGGGTTTTGAAGGTGTTTCTTTCACGAACAGCACAACGAATTCCATATATGACTGGTGGCCGGGTCATGAGGATGCTAGCAGTCATACTCTTGGTAGTGTTTTGGTTTCTTGTTGGCTGGACTTCATCTGTATGCCAGAATTTGGAGCGGCAAATTTCACTTATTGGCCAGGGGCAAACATCTGATCACCTTATCTTCAATATGTGCCTCATAGACCGCTGGGATTACATGACAGCAGTTGGTATGTGGTCACTTGTTTTATGTGATTATCTTGTCATTTTTCAGTAGTATTAAAGTTAGATTTTTAAAAGGCTTGGCAAATCATTTCACAAAGCCTAAAAAAATTTAACCTATGTGATTCTGGAAAAACAATTATGAAAACGGCATGTAGATGGCAAACATTTTCTGAAAGTTTCCATTCTTTTTCAAAAGTATGTACCTTTGTTGAAAAATTGTACTCAAGTAAAGTAAAATGAAGAAATGTAATGAACAAAAACTACTTCTGTGTACAAAGAGATTTCCTGCTTCTGTCTTATCAATTTGTCTCCCTTTGATTAACAGTAGTTATTACCTTGATTTATGTCTTTAGTTAGGAAAAAATACTGTCAGTATTTTTCTATATTTTTGGTCCTATTATCTCAAATTGTGTATATAGGGCATTCTTTGTGAAGAGATTGCCTCTAACAAATTTCTGATTAATCTTTTTTTCCTAGATTTATCTCTAAAGAAATTATCAGTAATTGTCTCGAGGCCCAGTATTTAAGAATGATCCCTACTACTTGGAGATAGTAAGAATTAGGTGGTAGAAAAACTTGCGAATTTAGAAGAATCCCATGATTTGGGCTAAACACACACTGATTTTTTTTTCTGATACCCGCTCTTTGAAAAATAAAGAAGGAAAACCCATAGGAGTTTTTCTATTACTAACAATAAGTCTTTCTTTCTTTCTTTCTTTCTTTCTTTCTTTCTTTGAGAGCTCAGTGTATAAAGTTTATCCTTGGAAGCAGTTCTGATATTGACTTTGGTCTAGATATGAAAATTTAATTGTATAAATATAAAATTTCTACTCAGTAGAGGCCCCTAATACTTTATTTTATACTTTTCAATGCAAGTTAATCAAACTAGGAAAAGTACTTTCCTTTTATTACTATAAATGAAAGCTCATTAGATTTATTTTCTGTTTTGCAAAAAAAATACTCAAAATATTTGATAACAAACAAGCAGGTGATGTGGCCTGTTCAACCAACATTGTTTTGCATTTTTTTACACATTGTCTCTGAGATGTATGCAAAACCTTTTTAAAGTTCATTTGGCACCCTGGAGTGTTTATATATTTTTATATAATATCATTGATAATAATCTGGAATTAATCTTACATAAAGTACATTGAAAACTAAGAACCATATACAATGAACAGGATCTACTAAGTACTTGTAATTTCTTCAGTGCTGAGTGGAATTGTTTTGAGGAGATATAAAATGTATAAAGATCTTATGCCTCTCAGCATGTAGATTAGCATTGGTTAATATAGATAAATGATAATTGTTACAAAGCAAAATTAGATTCTTAGTGCAATATCTCACTAAAGGAAGACAAGAGTTTGAACTACAATTCAAGAGTCTTTATAAAGAAGTTCTTTGAGTCATGGGTAATATTTAGGTTATTATAAAGAGTTGTAGAGAACATTCCATTTGATAGGAATAGTGGCAGATGGAGGTGGGTGGGAATTGTATGAAACATGAAGGAAATGTCTAAGTATAAAAGAGTTGGAATGCATTATGTTGGAAGACACTGTAAATGTTGCAGAGTGGTTCAGTTTATTGAAAACATTTATGAGGAATTTAGAGAACTGCCAGAGTAATACAAGGAATCAGTAAATTCCGTCTTGATTGCTTCCGAATGTGTTATTTAAACCAAATTCAGGGATTTGTGAGATGGGATGATTAGAATGGAGAAAAACTTTAAATAGTGGTTCTCGAAGGATGGTCCCAGCCACAGCATCACCAAGGAATTTATTAGAAATACAAAGTATTGAGCGACATTTAAGACTTTCTTAATTAGATACTCAGGACCCAGGGACCATTAATCATTGCTTAGTAAGCACTCCCAGTGAATCCATTAGTGTAACATATGGAACCAATGACTTAGAAGATGTAATCAGATTACCTTACTGAAACACAATGCCCAGTAACCCCAGGTGTACTCCGTCCATACTACAACACTCTTACTCTTCCCCAGATCAGAGCCACTGGCATGCTCTTCGTAGTGATTATTGCAAGTCTTATTTTTTCCTCATACTTCCACACCATCCATGTTTTTTCTTAGTAGAGAATATCTACTTGAAGAAGAAGTAGGAATTATCAGATAAAAGATATTAAAATTCTTGCCACCTGTCTGTGAATCTTCCTATGTTCACACTCATTCTTCTTTTCCCCCTCACATTTTCCTAGCATACGTCTCAACCTGAATCACACTCAGCCAATGCCTTACCTCTCCCATGTCCAGTGACCTCTCTCGCTCTGTACAACCTTTCTGTCATACAAAACTCCTTTACTTTCAAAATCACTTATTGAAGAATTCATTGCAGGTCACAACTTTCTTAGATCATTTCTTTACTCCCTCTGCAAAAGCTGTTTAATATCATAGAGTATTTCTATTGTATAGTGTCACCCCACATAATGATGATTTGGTTAATGATCAGAATGGAGTGCTCCCATAAGATGGTACTAAGCCCAACAATTTCTTATCACTCTTTTGTCTACTGAAGTACAGCGCTAGCTATAAACAAAGGTCATAAATTGAAACAATTAGTTATTTTAATTTTTGCTTATTGCACAGTGCTGCTCCAAAATGGATCATATAGGTGATTTTCTTACCACAAGTATTTCAGAAACAAGAAACAGCCAAAGGAAATTGTTTGGAAAAATCTCCAAACTGCAATGAGCCTCAATGTCTTCATTGAAGAAATAGTTTAAACATAGAGGGGAAAAAATGACTTTCAGAATCCTATTGTCATTTATATCTATTCATACTTTGGACAACTAATCTTGTATAAAAACTTGTGAGGTAAGCTTTAGTGGGAAACAAGTAACAATATAAATGTTGTAATTGTGGAAGAGAGATAGATCTTGGGCAATGTGAGAATAGCTCTATAGTACCAGTAGTCATATTTTTTAAGAAATAATTTTACTCATCTGGAAGAAAGAGAATTTTAAAATTTGGAGGTTCCAAAATATTTCTAGATCAGATTTGAATTCATATAAACAGGTAAACTGCCGTGCCTCATTGAGAATTGTTTCTATAATAAAAATGATCTCATGGGGCTTACAATACTATTTTTATTATATGACCTAGTAGTTTGAGTTTTTCTGAGTACATTTAAATATATTTTCCATAGATCACTGAAGGGAAAAGTTTCTTCCACCTGCTAATCCCTCTCTCCTCTCCCTGTCTGATAGCTCCAAACTCCTCAGAACCATTGTTGTATCATTTGTGCCATATCCCCAACCCCAGCAAAGTTTCTGTCTGTTGTAAGCATTTGACAATTGCTTGCTGGAAAAACAAAGAGTAACCATGTATCCCTTTGTCTTTTGATATTTTTATATGGTAAGAATTAGACTAGGATGAAGAAACTTGCTAAAGTTAAAAATCCAGAAGTTATACAGTTATCTTCAGTTTCATTTTAGTAGTAAACATATATGTTCAATTCTGAGGAGGTATTTTTGAGCAGTTTATATAAATTGGCCATCCCCATCCATACTATTGAACTCTGCCTTTCTTTCCTCAAGAGTCCACATAACAGATTGGCACAAATTTGATACGACAAATGAAAGTTATAATTTAAATAGTATAGTTTCAAATATTGAAATAAAATAAAAATTTATTTGCTTTTCATGAAAATATCCATTATTTTACTATCTTTCAGGAGCTATGTCAAGAATAAAAGGGATTGAAACTTGAAAACATTTCCCCAAATTAATATAAAAATAACCAAATGTCCTAAGTTATATCTATTTTGATAAATGTTGATAGTATGATTGCCAGAATTTTTCAAATCATAGCCACCCTCTTTGATAGTTAGTTGTCCATGTTCAGGATTTTTCACAATAGCATTAAAATTTGCCATATTAAGAAGCCAAGATTTTATTCCCCTATGAGTTTCCTACCTAGCAGATACAAATTGATACATAGGTAGTACTCATCTCCTAAGCCTAACTTAACCTTTAAACTTCACTCCTAGAGGCAGATCTTGATGCCTGGATTTAGGTATCCCAGAAGTCCTCCAATACAGGGCTTCTAAATTTGGAACAAATGAATAGCAGAGATGGCAATATAATGGGATTTTATCCTTTGGTATATGAGGTAGGATATCATTCAATTTCTGATTACACATTTAGAATATATGTTCAAAACCTGAAACACTTCCACTGACCAAGAAAAATTAGAACAAGTGGGCAGATTCCTACTTAAATAAATAATAAGACTGCAAAAAAGTGGCTGATAAATGGTAATATCAAAGACAATTATAACTCCCATTCCAGTGCTAAACCCTCAGTACACACTTAGGCAAGCACAGAATGTGCCTAAGTTCCTCAGTTTCTTCCAGAAGTTAGGTAGTGATGAATCTAATGTGATAAAAAGAAATATAATTGGCACTACAGCTATTTTTAGTGCCTTCTGTAACCTGAAACAAGAATATAGACAAAGAGCTCTATGTAGACTTCTGTTTATCTTCTGTTATCTTCAGTTCTCTGTCTATATTACTAAAATAACCCAACTCTCCTCAATAGCATTTAATGATTTTATAATTTTTCCCTGACAAGGGCCTTGTTATAAATTAAGTCCATCAATACCTAAGCTGTCTAATGGTCCTGGAAATATATGTTAGAGTTAGAGATCTCATGTTATGTATTTTATAACACTGAGTTGGAAAGAAAGACATAGAGAAAAATCTAAGCAGCAATTAAACAAGAATTGTAGGCTTAGATTCACATTCAATTTGGAAATTTTAAAATATTTGTATTTTCAGTGAATTCCAACATTGCCTCACTTGTTCCAAAATACTAGTTAGTTCTCATGGATTTCACGTGGAATATTTTGACCTCAGAATATATAATCTTTATTTACTCTTCTCCATTGATGTCCTCTTTTTTGTTCTCCTCTTTCATAGTGTAATATTTTAAATTACACAAAGTGTTCATGAATTTACTTAGTCAGGTGCCAGTGTTTGGAAGTAACTGA